ATATATATAAAATACAGAACCGAAAACAACATGCCAGTTGCTAGATAAGTTAACTAAATATAAAGTAGGATTCATAACATAATATTAGTCAGGATGAGACTAGAGACAAGGGGAATTGCCTAGAGCCAGATTAGGGAAGTTTGGGGAGAACCATCAGATCAAGGAATTGCAAAGTGGGGTATAATCCAGGTGGACAGAAACTAGGGTGGGATATCTTCAGTGATGGGACTAGCCAGAATAAAAGCAAACTACAGGAAATCAGAGGTCCATCTAACAGAGTAGTTGTTCAGTTTGAGAAAAAAGGCATATGAAGAGAAACTGTATAAAGAAAAGATGCATAGGTTAGCTTTGAATGGGGAGCCAGGCAATTTAGACCTGGTCTCTAGGCCGTGTTCTACATGTCGGGTGTGGTGAAGGATCAGTTGACACAGCTGATAGACACCAATTAAAGATTTCTGAGCAAGGAAGCACTACATGCATGCTGTGCATGGAAAGTTTGCCTGCATGGTTCCCTAGCAGTCAGTGGCTAGGGGACAAGGGGAATGGGAGGTTAAGCACACATCCAGGAATGAGGTGGTGCAGGGCCTGAGCTATGGGAGTGGTCATGAAATAGGAGGGGAGGGGTTGGTAGCAGTGAGATTGACATATCAGAGAGAAGTCCAAACTCCATAGCAAGAGTTAAAGCCTAGACACTTGGGATAGTGAGTGCTGTTCAGTTGAGACCTCTGAATGTCAAGTAGATTCAGAAGTTAAAGGAGTTTAGCTGGAGCACAGCCACAGTGGCAGCTTGATGCCAGGCTGCCACAGCAGGTGTTAAGCCGAGTTGCTGAACAGGAATATTTACTGTCCAGGTCCCTGAGGATGAGTCCATTTCCTGTGAACAGTCTGTTTTCGCTGCCTGCAGTTGCCTAGCATGTTAAATAACCTTACACATAGTATTACCTTACACATTAGTGTTAGATTCATGCTTAACTTTCAACATAAATTAGGGCAGCATAATTCATGTTGAAGATCTAATTCTCTGAAGAAATTAAAATGCAGTGTGCTGAAGCTTTGTCTGTGAGGGCACCAGGCCCAAAACACAGATTGGGCACTGTCTGCTATAATATATAGGGCAAGCTATTTTTAAAGCTTGTGATTGTTACAGTAACTAGGAAACAGACAGGAAATGAATGGTTTTGCAAAAGATATAGGCAGTTGCTACACAGTATATTTGCATTTGTAGGAAGAAGAGTGCCGTGCTGGTACTGGCCCCCGCTCTGGCATTGCCACCCTGAAACTCAGCCAGACTATAAACATCCTTGGGTCTTACTGGGGATCGTTTTGTTTATGTCCTTCTTACTACCTCTTTCTTTAAGGCCCATAAATAAATGCACACCAAAAAACTCTCAGATGGAAATATAGTTCCTTGGTTCACATTACTTCATACACTCACTATACCCCAGTTGTTTTCTGAAAGATGCATCATAACTGTAGGTGTTGCTACTTTCATTTCTGCTCTCAGTCAGGGACTAGTAGTATACATGTAAAAACAGATCATCTCCCCTTCCCTCAACTGTCAGTAAAATCCCCTAAGGAGTCTGATTGAAACTTTGACTTGAGATTCCTCGGGGGAAAGGCACCTTTCTGAACAGTAAACTGAGACTGTAGGGATATAGGGACCATGGGGAAGAGCAGGTACATAAACCTGCAGAGTGAATCTTCCTCCCTTGAGTATTTCTTTACATATCATGGACTTTGTAGATATACACACAGGTTATAGTCAGTTTGTAGCACTTTATTAGTTTCTAATAAATGGATTTTCCAAGTTAACACTTTCATTAGCTGGCTAGCTAAAGGAACTTCTGAGATAAACCATGAAAATGCAAGTGTAGTGGAGGTATTTAATGTCTAATTATATTTTAATAACTTTTTATTATGAAAATAGTACATATAAGGTCTGAAAAGCAAACATACCAAACTCTTAGTAGTGTTGACTTCTAGGGCCTTAGGGGAGAAACTTTACTTCTGAATTTAAAATTTTAAAACAAATTATAATTTAAGTTACAGTAGAAAAATAAAACCTATCATAATCATGCATGAAAACATGGAAGGGATAAAATAACATTAATTTATCCATAATCTCAGTACCGAAAGATAAGCCTATCTTATAATGTTGTAGCTTTGTGGGTGGGTAAATTATAAGCTAGCTCAGTGGATCAGAAGACTCTTAAATTATTTTCTGTTATCTATAATTGTATGTCTCTGCATATAAAAATATATCATGACAGTTTTCCCTATGTCATAAAATGGTCTTTGAAAGCATGAGTTTTAGCACATGTGTAATACATTGTTTGAGACATCCCTTTACATAACTCTTCTCTTTGTGGAAATCAGATACTCCCTTTTTTGCATCCTTATATATGCTTATAGTGAATAATTTTATATCTAAGTCTCTGACAATTACACTTCAGTATTTAAGGATAAATTTCTAAGCCAAGTGTAATGGTATATATATAATCCCAGCAGTGGGGAAGGATGAGACAGGAGAATCAGGTGTTCAAGGACACCCTGGGCTGCATAGAAAGACACTATCTTGAAAACCAATTTTCTAGAATTAATGTTATTCATTCTTTGCCTGTTTAATTTTCCTCAAGATGGCAAAACATTTTTAGAATGTTTTAGTTTTACTCATATGCCTTTTTTTGATTAGGCATTCCTGTTTGTCAAAAAGCAACAGTGGGCCAGGCGTGGTAGCGCATGCCTTTAATCCCAACACCTGGGAGGCAGAGGCAGGTGGATCTTTGTGAGTTCGAGGCCAGCCTGGTCTACATAGTGAGTTCCAGGACAGCTGGGGCTACAGGGAGACCCTGTCTCAAAAAAGACAAAAAAAAAAAAAAAAAGCAACAACGTAGGGCTGGAGATATGGCTTAATGGTTAAGAATCCTGGACTGATTGGCAGAGTATCTAGGTTCTGTTCCCAGTACTCATGTGGCAGCTAACAACCACCTGTAACTCCAGTTCCTAGGGATCCAACACCCTCTCCTGGCTTCTGAAGGTATTGCATACATGGGTGTACTTACATACATGCAGGCAAAACACTCATACACATAAAATAAAATAAAAAATTATGAAATATATTAAGTTGGTAATAATAAGGTTCCATTGTATTTTTTGAGTTATCTCAGATTGATTTTCCTAACAACTGCTACTATTTTACAAATGAAAAATAAATAGACTTGGTAGGGCTAAGCAAAAAGTAACTTATAAGTGATAGAGCTGAGGTTTGGGCCTGCCACACCTGCTCAGTGTGTGCCCTATTTGCCAAGTACTTTGGGTACAAATTGTTTCTCTCCTCCAAGTGCGTTAGCTAGTATTGTGCTTTGGTGAACTGTACAAGTCTGCTCACTTGCAATCACAAAATAACATAAGCTAAGTAGGTTAAACAACAGAAATTGTTTCTCATAATTCTGGAGGCCGGAAGTCCAAGGTAAGTTCCAGCCGATTCAGTTTCTGGGTTTCCTCCTGTTCTGCAGACAGTCACCTACTTACTCTGTCTTAAGGTATCACATAGCCTTCCTCTGAATGCAGAGGGCACCTGGGAACTCTGGTGTCCATCCTTTTTTTCCTGTTTGGTGATGGTGGTGGTGGTGGTGGTGGTGGTGGTGGTGGTGGTGGTGGTGGTAGTAGTGGTGGTAGTTTTTGAGGCAGAGTCTTAATGTATTCCAAGCTGGCCTCAAACACTCAGCCCTCCTGTCTCAGCCTCCTGAGTGCTAGGACTGCAGGTGTACACTGGCTTAGTGTGTCATTTTGTATAAAGATACTAATCCTATTGAGTCAGGGCTTCACTCACTTAGAGGCCCCCCATCTCCAAATACAACCACCTTAGGCTGGGCGTGGTGGCTCATGTCTTTAATCCCAGCACTTGGGAGGCAGAGGCAGGCAGATCTCTATGAGTTCGAGGCCAGCCTGATCTACATAGCGAGTTCCAGGCCAGCTGGAACTACAGGGAGACCCTGTCTCAAAAACACCAAAAAAAAAAAAAAAAAAAAAATCAATACAACCTTAGGGTCAGCATATGAATTTAGAGACACAAAAGTCTGTCCATCTGATTTGTGGCAGGCTCAGGGGCTTTCTTAGTTAGTGCTTGGGCATCAGAAGGCCTTGACTCCTGCCATGTTTATCGCCTATTATATATGAAGTCTCTGGAAGATAAAGAACAGTGTATTGGAAAATGTACATTTTCCCCACAGTTTGAAGTCCTGTCATTTATATCAGCCCAGATTATTTCTAGAACAAAAGTTCTTACTTCAGGCAGCTTATATTACCTAGGTAGATCAGCCCAAAATCTTAGTCGTATATCCTGGAGCTGAGTCTTAGCAAACTGTCTTAGGAGCTTAGAGGTGTGAGCTGTCAGTCATTCTTTCTTGTAAGAAGACAGTCAAAAGGGACGCTTACCTGGGCTTTCCTATCATCAACTCCTTGGGTAAGTTAGCATGGTGACATGGTAGTCAGCTTCTTCAGGAACACTGAACTTGACAATGAAGGTGCTTACCCCTGTTAACTCTTAACCACCCCACCCTGAGGGGAAAAGCATTCTTACTCATTATCCAGCCTCAGTCAAATCAGTGAAAAATCAAACCATTGTTTTGTAGCAGTACCAGGAAGAAACTGAATTCAGACATAATTCCTCTTCTAGCTTAGAAGATAAATTTATAAGGTAGCCGTTTACTAAGTAAGATGATAAACTGCTGGTAGTTTGGCCAACTCAGGAAAAGGTGACTTTACTAAGGAAAAATGAGGCTGCTATATGGCTTATACTGCCATGTTGGGGGGGGTAAAGTGTTGACAGAGGCTGCCTGTGTAAAAATGTTCAGTAGATATTAAATACCATTGTTTTCTCTTGCTTTGTTTCTCAATCAACTGTGGCTAGCCTTAACAAACTGTCTTAGAAGTGAAAATTGTTGGTCATTCTTTCCTCCAAGAAAACTATTAAATACAGTCAAAAGAGAAACTTATCTGGAGCTGGGCCAAGGATAGCATGAGAGCTGCTGGTCAGATTTCAGTTTTCTGTCCCATGGGAAGATTGGTATGGTCTGGGAGGAAAAGGGCATCTGCCGCTCTTCCTTGTAACCATGCTATACATCAGCCTCTATCCACACGATGGCTCTAGCCCCAGAACCATTTTCATGGAATAAGTATGTCCTTCTTCAGCAAACAAAACTCTGAGTCACCCAATTCTCTTCCAAAGAAAGGACCTTGCAGCACCTTGAGATGGTTGCCATAAGAGGAAAATCCTCTGTGCCTGCAACAGGGCTGTCCCATGTCACCTCTCACATATATGAGCTGCCCCTGCTTCCAATGAAAACAATAGCTCTAGCCAGTGTGTTCCAGGTGAAAATACCACCGAGAACCAACTTCTTTGCTGGCTGCTCCTGAGCAGCTATTCATAAGAGAAAACGGATTGATTTCCACAAGGGAATAGTTAAGGTAATGAGGTAAATAATTGCCTCCTCTTTGGGGCTTTTACCAACCAGAAGAACTAGAAACCACAACCTCCTTTGTGTACTGTTTTGCTTGCCATTAGGTGATTTGCTTGGCAACTGTGTGAGAAGGTGGATCTGTGCCGAGCTGTCCCTATGGACCAGGCACTGTAGATGCCATGTGAACTGTGAGAGGGAAGAGAATTCTGTGCACTAGGGTTACTAACCTCGCTGGAATATTGGGTAATGAGTCATTTGTTATTCTATAATGGAAGGTTTTGGCTGTTGGCCATTTAACTTTTTTTTTTTTAATCCTTTTTGTGGTTTCTATCTGCAACCAATTCTTTTCATTCCTCAGGCACATAGAGTAATTTAAAATCCAATGGGCAGGTCCTTATGAACATGAAAGTGTGTCCAGAGCCATTATGTTTTGTGGTTGAAAATTGAAATGCTGGAGACTATTCTCTTAGCTGTGAGCTCTCATCTTCTTCCTCTATCTCCTTTATTTAACAAAAAAGAAATCACTGGTAGGCCTCAAGCTGACATATCCCTATTCACTAAAACAGTGTTCGATGTAATAATGATGACTCAGAGTAACCTGGCTGGCAGTGCCAACTTAGAGACAGAAGCCCATTATGACCCAAGTGCTGCAGTTGACTCGCTTCATTCCTAATCTGTGTTGTCATTAGAAATAAATGTATACATTTTTAGTATTTTACTTGCTTTCTAGTTTGCCATACATCTTGGCATTTTTTTCTATTGTGGATTTTTTTGAGGTCCCAGCAGAGCAAGAGCAGCTGCTGAGTTTCTTCTCCTACTCTTGACATTTAGGTAAATGGCTGTCTGCTTGACCCTGTGCCCCCCGTCCTGGTGAGAAAGGGTTGCCAGTCACTGCCCAGCAACATGATGGAGACTTCCATTGATGAAGGGCTGGAGACAGAAGGCGAGGCTGAGGAAGACCCCAGTCATGCATTTGAAGCTTTCCAGGCCACACGCAGTGGGCAGCGACGGCACACTCTGTCAGAAGTAACTAACCAATTGGTCGTGATGCCTGGGGCAGGTATGATATCAGATGAGCACCAGGTTAAGCCTTCACAGGATCATTTTGTACTCCAAGTATCAAGAAATAGTGACCATGTTCACCAAGTCCTGGAATTCTTCTGTATCCCATTCCTTTATGGAGCAGATTGCCATGGGCCATGTGGATCAGGCCTGCTCAGTGGCTAACAAAGATTAAAAGGAAATGTCTGAGTTTTCTCCCTTTGCTCCAGCATTTATTGGCTGCAGTTGTGCTTGTTGTAGTTTGCTTTTCTGTTGCTGTGATAAACATGACAACCAAAAGCAACTTAAGGAGGAAAGGGTTTATTTCATATTCCAAGTTACAGTCCATCATCTAGGGAAGCCAGGGCAGGAACTTAAGGTAGGAGGAGCTTGGAGCAGAAACCCACAGAGAAGCACTGCTTACTGACTTGTCCCTAGCTCACACTCAACTACCTCTTAGAAAACCCAGGTCCACGTACCTAGGGATTGTACCACAGTGGACTGGGCACTCCTGTACCAATTAGCAATCAAGAAAATGCCTCACAGACATACCCCAGGCCAGCTTGATGGAGGAAGTTCTTCAGTTAAGGTTCCCCTCTTTCAGGTTTGTCAAGTTAGCAGCCAAGGTTAGCCATCATAGTGCTTTATAAGTGTCTATGGCTTTGTTGGAGGACCAGGATCTTATGGCTATAGTTTCTACAGGGTTTTCCCCACCAAATTTGAAGATGATTAAATTGACCTGTAAATTCCCTGGAGATTAAATTGATGTTCTCATTCATGTTAGGCAAGTGCTCTACCACTGAGTTACACTGCCAGGTCCCAACCCTGAAGGGAATTTTTCTTTCAGATAAATTCTCCCTGTTTTTCCCAGACTGATCTGGAACTCAAGTGTATAAGCAATCCTCTGCCCCATTCTTCTAAGTAGATGAAAGACTGCTGCTATAAAGACTAAATTGTGCCATGCTGTGAATCTTGTTTAAAGAAGATGCTATTGGTCATTATATGTTTTATTTTTTTCTTAAAGGGAAAATTTTCTCCATGAGTGACACCCCTTCCCTTGACAGCGTGGACTCTGAGTATGATATGGGGTCTACTCAGAGGGACCTAAACTTTCTGGAGGACAGCCCTTCCCTAAAGGACATCATGTTAGCCAATCAGCCCTCACCCCACATGGCATCTCCTTTCATAAGCCTGAGACCTACCAACCCAGCTATGCAGGCTCTGAGCTCCCAGAAACGTGAGGCCCACAACCGGTCCCCAGTAAGCTTCAGAGAAGGCCGCAGAGCATCAGATACTTCCCTTACCCAAGGCAAGTGCTTTGTCTTCTAACTTTGAAACCTTGACTGGGCACTGCAGTTGAAGAGGGGCTGTTGCCTCACTGGTGTGAACCTGTGATAACTAAAAGGCCTGTTTTACTTCTTAAAAGTACTGGCTTTTTGTACTTTTCAGGAATTGTAGCATTTAGACAACATCTTCAGAATCTTGCTAGAACCAAAGGAATTCTGGAATTGAACAAAGTACAGTTGCTCTATGAACAGATAGGATCAGAGGCAGACCCTAACTTGGCATCTGCTGCACCAGAGCTCCAAGACCTCACAAGCAGTTGCCCTCAGGTGGGTATAGGGGCCCTTCCCACCATGTCTGAGTGTCGTAGTATGGTGCTGTTTGTCCAGATGTGTGGTTTTCGGTTAGAGAACTTCCCCCAGTCCTGGATAAGTGGGCTCTGTGGGAAACCCCATAATTGGAGCGGTTTCCTTGCTGCTTCCACTGATAGCTCAGACCCATCCATTCTGCTCCCAGATGTGCGGCACAAGATGGAGGCCTAAATAGGCTCAAGCTAGTTTGGGTTCACAGGGCAGATTGTATATGGGTAACTCTCAACCCCCTGCATTGCCTATATATGAAGAATGGTGACCATCACCCAAATGAGAACTTTTTTGCCACTATTTCTTTTTTTTTTTCTTTTTTTTTTTTTTTCTTTTTTTGAGACAGGGTCTCCCCAGTAACCCCAGCTGGCCTGGTTACTCACTATGTAGACCAGGCTGGCCTCAAACTCACAGAGTTCCACCTGCCTCTACCACCTGAGTGTGGGATTACAGGTGTGTGCCACCACACCTGGAGGCCACTATTTCTTATGTGAAGTCACTTTATTAACTATGATGATTAGTCACATAAAAATATAATAAATATTGTTTTGCTTTTTAGTTGATTTTCAGTGCATCAAAGATACTGTATTCCAGGCTCACATGAAAATAATCACTTTCCGGTGATATCAGGAACCTGTGTTTTAACACTCCTGACATGGTGATAGTTGTCTACAGATAGCACATGTACAAATTCTCCATAAAGGAACTTTCAACCTATATGTAAAAACTTTTGAGTGTTAGGTATTGTAGAGCCCAGATTTCAATTGGTCATTTGCAAAGGTGCTGAAACTAAAAATTAAAACTTTGTTGAATGAAGAACTGCCATTTCTGCTCCCTTCTTCCTCAGGAGAAAGTTTCTCAGCAGCAGGAAAATGTCTCCACCCTCCCTGCCAGTGTGCACCCTCAGCTTTCCCAGCGGCAAAGCCTGGAAACCCAGTACCTGCAGCACAGACTCCAGGTGCGATCCTTCTCCATGTTAGTCAAGGTCACTTTGTAAGAAACCTGTTTCAGAGTCAGGCGTGGTAGCCCATGCCTTTAATCCCAGCACTCCAGAGGCAGAGGCAGGCGGACCTCTGTGAGTTCGAGGCCAGCCTGGTCTGTACAGCAAGTTTCAGGCCAGTTGGGGCTACAAGGAAACCCTGTCTCAAAAAGACCAAAAAAAAAAAAAAAAATTGTTTTCCCCTTTTTTTCTTTTTTTTTGGGAAAGTTTTTTTTCTTAAAGGCAGTTAGATTTTATTTTACTTTTATATGTATTG